AAATACTCTATGTGTTGCTATTTTATATCTTTATTAACTACAAAAGTTCACTTTTTATCATGCACAGAAATAACATTTGGTACTCCATACTCAATATCATTAATTCTGAGAACTTATGAATGAAAGCAAATGGGAATATTTTAGTAACATGTCAACTGCACTACATGTGCCGTGTCCAGAGCCAACAAGGCCTCTCTTCAAATATTAGGACTCATCAGGCCAGCTGGAATATGACAGTGTTGGATATACAAGAATGTTTAGTTTAAGAGTTATTATTTAGTTTTCATAACAATAGTGTTAAGAGTTAATTATTTTAAAAGCGATAGTTATTACAAGTTTCCTTACGTAGCTCTGTACGAGTCGTATGTTGTATATGTAATTTAATTGTTGTAGTCGGGTTTTGTAATACTGTTGATGTCATCTTACCCAAAGCTTCCACCTTTTTCTCGTTAGGTGTAATACTGTTGCTACTAGAGGGCTAGAGATTTCTCGATTTTTCTGTCACGTGTTATAAATACATACAGATACAGAAGTAATTGAAAAAGTTAAGTTAGTGAAAATGAAGTTAGACTGCATGACTGCTAGTTTAGCTGTTATGGCTAATCACTCACACACCAACTAACTTCAAGTTTTCTTTCACAAACTAATTTTTTTTCTCACTTGTTTGCCTATATGAATAATTACCCAATTGAGGCATAGAACTTTCTAGAAACTACGATATGCTAAGATGTAACAATACTCACATAGCGAAAAAAATTTAAAGGTATCGAGTGAGATGACATCAACAGCACTACAACAATTAAACTTCATACACAATGCAAGACTCATACCGAGCTACATAAAGAAACTTGTCATTACTAACACTTTTAAAACTATCAACCTTCAACACTCCTGTCAGGAAAACTACATAATCATTAAATATTAGGTCACTAAATAATAACTCTTACACTAAACAGTCTTGTGAATCCAACAATGATGAATATATTTCTGAGGAACATTGGTACAACTTATACATAATGATCTTTACAGATTCCACCACATTAACTATCTTCCTGGGTTTCATAAATTTGAATGATACTTTTGTCTTTGATAAGTTAAAAGTTATCAAATGTGCAAGAATATAAGGTGAGATAGCTAAAATTTAAAAACTGAGTAGAGATATATGAAAAATAAAAACTGTAAACTACCCTTGGGATTTTAACTACTCATCTTTATCTTTGTGTGAGATATCAATGTTTTGTTAAAATTTTTAATATTTTTGAAGAGAGACCAAAAATAAACAATAAAAAATTGTACATAACATTCAACTTGGATATATACATAATATTGGACAAATATTAGTCTTCAGAAAACAAATGCCTGTTGAATTGCAAGCTTCGATTTTCACAAAACTTGTGTAAATGTAAGAGTTTATGCAGATTTTACATGTGAAAAATGGTATCCTACAGTATACACGTTACCTTTGAGAGCTGGTGGAATAGCCTCCTGTTGTATCCTCGTGGGTGAATTCCATTTCAGTTCTTCACAGGCTTTACAGAGAACATCGACAACACCCTGACATTAATACAAGAATATCAAGTTTTATACAAAACTATATACAATTATGTGCATATGGCAATGAGTAGATCTGATAATATGTATTGATACCCTAATACATGTATATCCACAACAGATAACTTTAATTGGTAAAACTCATGTAGTGATAAACAACAATGATTGATTTTACAAATCTACGAAGGGCAGGTTCTAAATTAACTTCGTTTAGTTGAACCACTACTGGAAGATTAAGTAGCTGTCATCACTCTGGGAACAAATAAACTCCAAACAGTTACAGTGTAATTAGTTGAAATTAACCTGTCAAAACTTAAAATGAGAACAAAAATTAACCAAACACAATACCAACAATATGATACATTAACAAGGCTACTTTCTTTGAACTAGAACTTTAAGAGAAAAACAAATGCAATTTGTTGTTGCCCTAGTATTTTCAATTTACTGAGATTTAACCTTATTCAACTCTTTCAGCATGAGCTCAGTCCCTGGGACCAACCTCATAACCATTTTGTGCTTGTTACAGTTTTCATGCTATAACTTTTAAATTAGTAAGCAAATGTTAACAAAATTTGGCAGATTATCAGTAAACTTTCATACGAAAAATATATTTTTTTTATTACGTCTTAAGGTTTGTAAAGCAATGTTTTTCTCATGCCTTTTTTTTTTCTTTTTAATTTACATTTTCAGATTAAATATACTTTTGTGCATCAGAAAATTTTCAAATTTCACATGTGAGATCCTTATAACTGTCCAGATAGTTAACAAATGTTTCTTATAAAAAAAACTTTATATTTTATCTGTTATTTTCAGTAACGAGTCTCTGTACGGGTTCAGTAGATTTGACCAATATCGTAACCACCATAAAATAAATAAATATAATATA